GGACACGGAACGTAGTATTTGAGCGAGCTACGCGAATACAGTGAATGTGCATGCCATATCTTTCGGAAATTTTTTGAGATAGCGGATGGATGCGTTCTTTTAATATAATTATTAGTGCTGGGCAATTTGGGTTTTCTAAAACCTATCTTTGACGCGCTAGTTTTGAAAATTGACCTATTAGGTGATGCGTTTCTTTTAGATACTTGGTCTGGCATTGGTTGCAATAAGGATTTGAGTAAGAACCTATGCATTTTGTTTTAATATTTAGGAATGAATACTGTATAGCTGTAACGGTTGTTCATTCAATTAGTAATGGTGATAACATAAAGTCAATTTTTTACTTGAGATAGTATATATAGCGATTGAGATAGGTAATACTAGAATTTCCAAAGAAATTGTCCAAAATTTTGCTTCTTGTGGAGTTGGAGGGAATTTATATGAAATTTTTCAAAGATTGTGTGGTATTTATAATGCCTTTTTTACCAGTTAAATTGTATCTTTCATAGTTAAAAAATTAGTCAAAAATTTTAATGTTCTGAATGCTATGTTAAAGAGGTTATGGTATATTGTACACGCGGTTTATTGTTATTTGAGATAGGGATCAATGTTCAATTTTGCTCTAAGCTATACGAGTCGCATTTTATGATTCGCTAGTAGAAAAAACTATGGAGAAAAATCGGGCAAAAAAAAAAAAAATGTCTTGATTTGGGCACTTTGTATGAGTAGTTTAATACTAGTAGTAGTAGTAGTTCAATGGAAGTGGCAGCAACTTGCTGAATGACACTGCACAAAGCAGATTAACAATCACGAAAACAACGGACTCCCTATACCTACACTAGTAAGTACTATTGATTTTTAATTTCACATGTGGAGTAAACCTATAAAATATATTGTAATTGGGGGGGGGGGGGATTGAAATTTTTCAGCTGTTGAATGTTTTAAAACGATTTTGTCATATGGTTGAAATGTGTTGTGGGTTATTTGTCATGATTAGTGGACTGATTTGTATGACCTAAAACATCGCCAAAACGATGTATTACATGCTCTTAAAAGTTTTAAAAGTGCTCTAAAAGCAATGCAAAATGGATTAAAATATATCATTAAAACCAGTTTGAATGAACAATCAAACGTTTTCACATGTTACTTCTGTAATTGAGGCTACTTCAAGTGAATTTAGCTTGAAATATTGGTATGGACGTTTTTTTCACTTTCTTTATCTTAAGATATCCTGAAATCATCCGAACTAACAATAGCCCTGATAGACATCACAGAAACCTTAGATTACATACAACTGCTGACGTAATGATTTGTGAGAATCAAATAGGCTACTAAGAAGTGTTGTTGAGAACATGTTGTACCTCATCCATATAATTTGAAGCAAGTACCATTAATATATTAAAATTGATAAAATGTGAGAAAAATACATTAAAAATAAAAATGGTAAAAAATGACTGATCAATCTTAATTGAAAAAGTAAAATGCAATAAAAAAAACATATAATTGGGTAATTTTTCTTCTGCCATAACATAAAATTAGTTTCTTTACGAAACAGCTGAAGTAAAAAGAAAAAATTGATATTTCATTTAACTCTCCCCTAGTCATGTATAACTCGTGTAATATTAATTGATTTATTTATTTTATCTCTGAAAATACATTTTTATCTATTATTTGATTACTTAAGTGCCCTTAACGCATTGTGCTGTTTTTTGGGTAAACATTTTTAAACTATTTGGTTTTTGTTATTATTGCATGGTGATTTCGAGTTTTGTGCCATAAATCAGTATATCACAATAAGATGTAATTTATAGAACTTTATTAACGTGTCATATTAGTGAACATTCAGCTGATTAGCCTATTCTGTTCTTTACAGTTATTCTTAGTGCACTGATGAATTTGGTAAATCATTATCCTTTAGTATAATTACTGGCAGGAAAGTTTTTGAAAATACAGAGGATTATGCAACTTTATTTCTTGAGGAACAATAAAGAGGGGGAATGAGAAATCTGATTCTATTAGGATCTAGTTTCCTAGAGGGTATAAAGTATTTCATATTTTGGCATTCTACGATTACTAATCTTCAATGTGGGCATTGAAATTATATCAAATTTGTTAACTTCAGCAATTCTTCTGAGATTCACATTTTATTTGTCTTTTTTCTATTCTTGAATTTATGTTTCAAAAACAGTTTTCACCTCTGAATGTATGAAGATAAATTAATTCTGGATCTAGAACTTGCACTGTTTTCCTCCTTTTTGATATGAAAATTTGGTGGATTGTATTCATTGATTTAGTATATGTGTATTTTTACTGGTTACCTGTGTAGAACAAAGAACCCTTTCACGCAACAGAGTGCTTAATTTCTTCTATTTTACACACTCCATCTCATATATACCCCGGGAAGCTCGAGATTTATGGAACAAGATTCCACTTCTGAAACCCAACACCTTATTGTCCTCAACACCATAATCTGATGAGTAAACTTACTTACAAGTTTACTTACTTACCTTTTACTGAAAACGGATAGCTTTGTCCTTAGTAGCCTCAACCTGGAAACACCTCCTTTTAACTTTTTAATTCTTTCTCTCTCATGAATGTGTTTGTAATCATTCATATTTATACTAATAATGAAGTTTCTTGCAATGGTATAACATCACTTTTAACATTTTCCCTCTTGACAAATTCAAAATCATCTGAACTTCACATACTTATTTGCACTTACTGCACATACAAATATTTATTTAAAAGTTTTTAAGTTCAAAATATATACCTAATAGGTCACAACTGAATGTTATCAGTACAAATGGATTAAGGCAAATTATAGATTTGTATTTCAGAAAATGTATGTGGTAAATTCAAGGAGTAAAGAATATTTAGACAAAGAAGCAACACAGGCATCTATCATCACAATTTTAATCCCAAAATAGTCATGCAAAATCTCCAATGATCACTAGAAACACATTTAAGATTATTTAATCAATAAAAGGAACTCTCAACTCAGTCCAACAACAACAAAATAAAGGAACAAATATTTTCATAACAATTTTTCAGAAACATTTTGAATTCTTAAGTGTGAAGTTATCTGAATTCTCAGACAACAATTTTTGAGAAAGCCAGCCTCATTAAAATAAATACACTTTTCAAAGCTGTATTTATAAAAAGGCACTGATATTTTCAGTAAATTATGGCTACCATGATGTTAGTGAAAAGATAATTCAGTGGTTGACTAACCATGTTCAATACACTGATTCATGTAAATTAATATCTGTCATTTTATACTGTTGATCAGATAACATACTCCAAGATCGCCTAAATATTTGTGATACCTCTTTCTCAGTACTTTCATAGGAACGAGATGCTGCCTTCAACCACAAATAAAAATCCTTAGACCACTCTGGACTCCATGGCCAGTCACACCGCAAAATCACAGCATTACGCCGGACATAAAAATAACGCAAATTGCGAGCAGTGTGAGCCAGAAGCAGAACAGTAGATGTTGAAATTCTCTCACGAACCATCTGTAAAATAGAGAAGTGCTTTCAGTTTATAAAAAAAAAAAAAATAGCTCTGTGCAATTTTAATAGTAGTAACACATTCTTAAAAACAATATGTTTTCAGGCAGCTCTCCAATTTAAACTATTAAGAACCAAAATTGCATAGTAGAAAGTTTTCAAATTAAATTAGGTTCATACAAGGGAAATATTCTGAATGTCAGAAAAAAACAATGTTCAACACAGACACATTCCTAAAATTTCATCAATATATCATTAATATACATATATTGCACACTCATGCACAAACTCTCACCTTACAAGCTTAAGAAAGATGATGGTTTTATACAATTAATAAAAAACCATTGACAAAAAATCCCTTAACTGAATTAATGCTAGATAAGGTAAAATTCCCCAGCCTTGCATCAAACAATGATGAAAAAATAAATTAGGTTTCAGATTTATAATATTAAGAAAACAGCAGGCACACATGCAACTTACAACATAAGTAACATTGCAACATCCATTGTGCTTTACTGAGAACAATGCGTTTGTTATCACATTTTTATGTTTCTAAGGGTTATTTTTTTAT